CAACTAACGGCTTGTTGGGTTCATGATTCTTAGGTTTCAAGGCTTTCTTGTCTGTCTTTTCGTGTCTTTTCATCATGTGCATAGTAATGGTCATCATCTTCACAGCAACACCAGCCCCGCACGGTCTTGTCCTGTAGCTCGGCCACGGGCCACGTAAGTTGGTGTTTTGGTACAGTGTCGGTATCATTGCCAAAAAAGCCAACACCTCTGCAGAGCAAAACCCTGAAACCGAAACCCTAAGCCCTCAACCCTAAACCCTAAGGCCTCATCGCTAAACCCTAAGGCCTCAACCCTAAACCCTAAACCCTAAACGAGCGGACGTGGCCTGGAGGAGTCTCGATGGACCCGGCCTCAAGACGCAGACCAGGAAGAGGAGCAAGAGCTTCCGGAGGCCTGAATTCATATTTCTTATTTATACATAATTGAGTTTGAAAAAAACCCTAAACCCTAAACCCTAAACCCTAAACCCTAAACTATGTATTTTTCAGATTCCATTTCCTTTTTTTGAAGCTGAAGCGGTAAAGAGCCCAAGGGGATAAGGCATTCCTGGGGCTCCGGACCTTATCATGATTGTCTTGAATGCCTCAGAACAGACTACAGTAGACTCTACCATAGTATAGGGTTTAGGGTTTAGGGTTTAGGGTTTAGGGTTTAGGGTTTAGGGTTTAGGATTTAGGGTTTAGGTACTACATACTGTACCACTGTTTGATTTGAAGCTTCAGTGTAGTTGCAGAGTTTAGAGACTTTGGGAAGCTTTGGGCTATTTTTTCTGCCCTGTGGGCCTTGCAACAGGGTGCAAGGAGCCCAAAAGGCCCGAAGCCGCGGTTGCATTTAATATAGGGGCCTAAATAACTACCTATACTACTTTGGGGGCTCCAAGACCCTATTCTAATTGTTTAAGGCCCGATACTATCTGTTTTGATCAGCTGGACGATGTTGCACAATTTCAGGCTCATGCTATTCCACTCCTACACCTATGGGGTCCTTCAGGAATCCACTCCCCCTGAGCCACACGTGCTTAAAGATCCCATAACTAGCCGGACCGAACCCGGTGTCGGCTTTTTTCATGCAACGGAAGAAGATCCGCCCTTGCCTGCAGGGCTGGGAGAAGGCTGGGCTGCATCCTGCTTTCGGGGGGAGTTCTGAGCCCTTCGTATCCTGCACCATCCATCCCCAATCCCCAAACCCAAAAACCCAAACCCCACGCCCCAAACCTCAATCCCCAACCCTCATTTTGGCCCCGCCGGTCTTGAGAGTCGGGACTTGAACATGCTTGGAGATTCCAGGTTGTTGGGGGGTTTCATGGGGTTTAGGGTTTAGGGTCTTTGGAGTTTAAGGTTTAGGGTTTAGGTTATGGCTACTGTCGGGACAACTGTTTTTGCATTAGAAGCAGCTGAACCATAATTCACAGTGCAGGCAAGCCATGTACTCGTCACGAGAACTCAGACTTCACTGCATCTCATGTTTTTGTGCGGTGGCTTGCAAGCGGAGTTGACGGCCGTGACCGAAACGTTCTGCAATTCCAAACTGCAGGGTTTTTCCACCGGCGAACAAATCCATGAGTAGAAAGGCGTTACCCCCGCGAGCGATAGGAAGGCATTTTCCGAGCCAGCAATATCTGAAACATGATGCGACGACTGCCGACGTTGCCACATGTTTGAACTGCTGCCTCTGGCTAGCTAGACCTGCTGCTACTGCTACCAGGTAGCATAAAGCAGTAGCAGTGGTAGTCTCGTCGTCGTCGTCGTAATAGGTAGTCTTAGAGTAGCAGTGGTAGTCGTAGAAATGATAGCAGAAACAGCAGCAGCAGCAGGAGTAGGAGTTCTAGTAGTGGTGGTAGTAGTAGTAGCAGTAGTAGCAGTAGTAGCAGTAGTAGTAGTAGTAGTAGTAGTAGTAGTAGTACTAGTAGTAACAGTAATAGAATAGAAGAAGTAGAAGTATAGGTATGAGTAGAAGTAGTCGTGGTGGTGGTGCTGATGGTGGTGGTGGTGGTGGTGGTGGCGGTGGCAGTGGTAGTGGTAGTAGCAGTTGCAGCAGTAGCAGCAGGAGTAGTAGTAGTAGTAGTAGTAGTAGTAGTAGTAGGGCGTCCCCCCCCGGTGCATTATGAGTATTAGTAGTAGTAGTAGTAGTAGTAGTAGTAGTAGTAGCAGTAGTAGCAGCAGGGTACTAGTAGTAGTCGTCGTAGTAGT